TATCTGCTTGTTCAGTCTATAGGTGGACCTGATTCACGAAATGAGACGCACCAACAAGCGTCGCGGCCTTGCGACACTTTGCATCGGGGGTGGCCAAGGTGCGAACATAGCTCGTCGAAGCAGCAGCACGATGCAGTGAAGCGCAGGCACTTGAGGAAGAACATGGTTTCCGTTTTCGCCAGGAGTGGCGATGTGCTTCGAGCGTCCCATTGCCAGCAAACTTTGAGCAGCCCAAGGCCTTCTCTGCTTGCAGCAGTGCAACTTTCCATGAAGTCTATATTCCGATGTAGCGCCCCCGACCGCCTTCTACCGCCTTCTGGGTTGGAGGGCTGGCTGGGGAGCCCTCCGGGACATGTCGCACAAGCAGCAGCTGCAGAGTGCCCAAATGCACCACTCACGTTGCACGTGATCGCATAATGGGCAGTTTCCGGCAGCAATTCGTAGGGCTTTGCACTGTAGAACTTTATCTGGGTTCATGTGCGGTAACGGTGACTTCGAATGTGTGAACATCACCAGCCCCAGCATGGAACCGCAGAACACAAGAGAAAAAGACGAGGAGAACATGAAGTGTCATGGACTGCAGCTTCGGCCTTCAAGACGTGTCGATGTCCGGAAAGCATGTTCTCAACTGGCCTTGCTGTTGGCAGAGAAGCATGGGCTTCTGCACGAGTTTTGTGATTGTCCTAGACTGCGGCCGAAGGTCCTCTTCCGCGTTTGCGGCATCATCACTGTAAATCTGATGAGGCGAAAGCCCAGGATTACGCGCATGACAGTAGCTCGGGCTTTGTTTTAATCTGCAGTGCCACGGAGAAGGAAATTGCAGGTGCAGGAAGTATGCCGGATAATGCAAAGCCTGTTGTAGCACCACACTCGGGCATGAAGGAGACCTGCATCTGCCACCTGCATCTGCAGCTTCCAGTCGAAATGACGTTCAGAGCAGGCAGATTCACTGTCGCATGTTCCGCTCCGATGTCTGCGTCGGTCTCGGTGTGAGTCTTCTCCTGGTCAGGCCTAGACACTGTAGCTCTGAAGAAGCACGCACCGAGATGGCTCAGCCAGTGTGTTTCGCATTGGCGAAGACACGTTTCCACTGACAGCCTCGGGTGCTCGAAAGGGCCTGGGAAGAGAGGGATGGGTCGGAGGCAGAGTGGTTTCTGTTTTGTCGGGCTGTCCCCCACTGCAGTTCTCCGTTCCTGCGTGTGGGATTTTGCTACGGAAGCAGACAAAAACCATCCAGAGCTGAAGGCCGCAGCAGACCACAACCTACGGACACTGTTGCCCTCAGGCTCGGAAGCCCCGGAAACGAGCCAAGAGGCCGGGTTTGGCGGAAAGCTGACACCCACGCTTCCTCATGCCTGTAGCCAGTGCACCACCTGAGGTGCCTGTCGACTCTTGGGACCGCTTGCAGGCCACGAGGGCAGCTCAAGAAGCACGACAGAGTTTGCCGAAAACGCCCCGCAGGCGGTGGAGAGCGAGGTGACGCGCCTCGGGGAAGAGCTCCGGCGCGTAGAGGCCTTCGGAGCTCCTGCAAACACTCCTGGAGAACGGATACAGTGCCTAGTAGGAGTCGAGGTCGAGGGTTCGGATAGCACCGCAAGAGTAGCAGGGACATAAATGCATCGCGCTGCTTTGCAGCCACCCTGGGCCTCGATGCTTTGCTTGCGCATGGCCGGTGAATAGGAGGAGCAGCAGCATGCAGCTCGCCAGCGAGGCGACCTGCAGCAGGCGCAGACGCAAAGCGCATGTCGGCGAGTCCGGAGTTGAATCACATCGGTTACGAAGATGCGGCCCCGAAAGCTAACGGAATGCTTATGCGAGCGTGAGGCGGATAAGCTCCTGATGGCTCGACTGCATCGGACCTAGTCCACACTCTGAGGCTCACAGGTGCATCAGTGCAAGAGTGGCCGCAAGTAACGGTCTTGAGAAGTTGCTTAGGTCCACGCTGGAAGGTGACAAAGCTCACACCGGCGTCCAAGTGCAGAATTTGCATGCACTCATTTCAGCCATGGGCTTGGTCGTTCAGATTCGATCAGTTATGCGGTGATTGGGCTTGCATCAGAGGGCCCTCGCAAGGTGCTCCGCGCAGGCTGTAGGTCAGGGAACTGATGCAAGCACTGAGTCCTTCTTTGCGCAGAGGCCCTCGACAGAGGGGCCCGGAACCTCAGCTTTCCGGCTGCCGAGGCTATGTTTCCCTTCGTGACAGCCGAGGCGCGTGGCCTTTCCGAGGACCTGACCTGTGTGGTGGAGGAGGTGGAACTGAGGCCCGTCGTGCTGCTTGTGGATGATGTTGATGCCTCAGCATGCTGTTCGACCCCCAGGCTTGCCAAGATCGGCCAGGAGCTCTCCAGTCAGAGGTGTGCCTTGCAGCAGGCCTTTCCCGTCTTTGAAGTTGCAATCTGGCCTACATGCAGTGCTCGGGCCGAACAAGTCACCAAACAGGACAATCGCAATGGCCTTGTGTACCGGTAAAGCCCTCGCGAAGCTGCCTGCGCTGTCGTGATTATGTTATGCCATGCTGCAGATGACTTCTTCTGCGCAAGCTTCGCCGTCTTTGCCAGTGCCCTCGTCTGCAGAGGGCAGGGTGGAGGTGGAGTGAGAGCCCGATTCAGAGGCCGAGCTTTCCATGCTGGAAACACCAGCCGCATGCGATAAATTGCTGGAATGCCCTCGCAACCTAGGGATGTGCAATTGTTTCGTTTTGAGCTGCCTGGCGGTGCAGAACCTTGCATTCAAGAGAGAGGATGGAGAGATTCTGAGAGACTCTTTCTTTCAGGTGTCAGCTGCAGTTCAGAGACTTTGCAGTTCCAATCCCAGGACGATCGTAGAATTAGCTCAGTTGCGTTCTGTTTGCCTTGAAGGCGGGGTTGATTTCCACGTCCAGGTTACGGTTAAGGCTTGCCATGTCTTGAGGATGCAGCGATCTGAAGCCTTGGACTTAACTTAGTTGGCGTGGATGTGCTGCTTGCGAGAACTTTGTGTATGTAAGCGGCTGCGAGTGAGGCCACACGACTTTGCCAAAGCCTTCGTGCCTGGAGGGCTGCGGTGTGTCCGGGATCCTCAGGAGTTCGAGCTTTGAGAGCAGCCATGTAGGCGTAGTGCGGAGCTGCTACGGTGTCAGATTGTCACGCTGCCGTGAGGTTCCTCAGAGAGGCCTGCAGTCGAGTGTGACAGTGCAGACTTGCCTCAGTTCGCTGTCCACATCGTCCTTGCAACGAGCATGCATCGGTCACCCTTTTTCGCATTGCAAATGCCAGGCCAAGGCTTGCTGCTTCGGATGCAGCTGCCATGCCGATGATTGAGTTTGGGCCTGAAGTTCGAAATCAACTCACCAGGATCGGTGACACGGCAACTTGCCGCAGGCAGCACTTGCAGCAACGGTTTGAGTGGCTCGAACAACGGGCCCTGCTCAGCGCTCGCTGCGAGGCATCCGCTCTCTGCTCGTCTTGTCAGACTGTCAGAGCTAACCTTAGACCCCGCATGGCCAAAAGCTAGGTTTAACTCGTTCCTGCGGTCCCACGGTCATGAGACTTCAGCGGTTTAAACGGTCAAAATATTCTTGCAGGGCAGCCCACGTTGTTTTGTCAGCACGTTCACAGTTGCCAGGTGCTGCGCCAAAGAGAGGAACTTTGCCTTGCGGTTGGAACCGAGCTGCACGAGGCGGCAATCGGGGATCTCAACGCGAACTTACACTGATCACCGAATGGATTGGCCGATGGCAGTGTTTGTTCAATCATTTGAAGCTCTCTCCGGTTGAGCAGCAAGGGTTGCGTTTGAAAAAAGAGGTCCAAGCACAGTTTTGGCAAGTACACTTCATTGGATGCAGTCGGATTGATCTCATTGTGCTGGTGAAGCAAGCGGGCCTCAGTATTTGCCGTGAGGCAAACCACGCCCACTTCCAGATCGATGAGGCGAAGGTCATCGGCAAAATTTGGCAAAAATTGCGGTTCCTCGAAAGTCCATGATGTCTTGAAAAGTTGAGGTGATGTAAATTAGTTACTGATTCCTCACAATAACCTCGATCGTATAGGTTCGCCTCAGAGCCAGCAGGTGCTCAAACTGTCCGAGGGCCTCAGCGAAGTGCAGCAGAGGGTCGAGGACGTGGAGGCGCGATTCGCTTTCGGAAGCCTTGGTGGAAGCGATGCGGCGTTCGGCAGCCAGCGAGCACGCAGTCCCGTGAGACAGACCACAGTAGCTCGACATAGAAGCCTAGGAGGTAAACATCGGAGGGCGTGGTTTTGGGGCACATGCACCCTGCACGGAAAGTCAGAAGGAAAGAAGAAAGGAAGAAAGAAAAAAGGAAGGAATGCAGGATGGAAGAAAGGAAAAGGAACAAAGGAAAGCAGGCAGAAAGGAAGGAAGGGAAAAAGGAAGGATTAAATGCAGACTCCAAAAGTTATATCAGGATCAAGAAGCTTAACTACAAGAGTAAACAGAAGTGAAGAAAAGACACAGCAAGGAGAGAAAGCACACGAGAACGAACGAACGAACGCACGACACAAAAGAAAGACCAAGTAAACAATGAAGACAACTGGCCAACCAAGACATGAACGTCAGAGAAAGAGAGGAAAACTAAGGACAAAAAACAACACTGAGAGTAGCGATCGAGCGATTTCCTGCAGCAAAGTTGCACACGAAGAAGAAGGATGGGATTAACAACTAACTAAATCCAAAAGCACCGGTAGACTGGAAGAGAGAGAGAGAGAGACGACAGAACATTGCAACACACTATTTATACTTTCCTGTAGTAGGGTCGGGGTTTTCGGCAAGCTAATTACCAGGTATTGCAGGTTGTAAGGTCTGCTTTGCAACAGGCCAGTCGAGAATTCCCTTGCACAGGATACGGGCCCTTTGGGTTTTCTTGCAGCAAGCTGTTGACAATTTCCCTTACGCAGGGTACGCTCTCGCAGCTATTGGATCTTGAAGTCTGGAAGGTTGCATATGGCGGCAAATATCGGCAGATTTATGCAAGTTTCGAACTTACTGGATCTTTTGATGCTCAGGCATCTTTGCCGCAGCTGGTGACCAAAGTGAGCGAGTTAGGCCCGGGCTGGTGTGAAAGGGCAGGGTATTGGCTGGGAGCTTATGACGTTTGTGGGCTCGAGAAGAACTGATCGCACGCGCAAAGCCACCTTCTGTTGCTAGTCTGGGCAACGAGTCGTCTTAAGACAGTGAGGGCCGCATGCTGCTACATTCCCAACATCTAGCTGAGCATGTCGTGAGCCGAACTGGAGTTGAAGCGCTGTTGAGCCGCTGTTGTGTTGCTGGGAGAATGTTCTGTCCGCCAAAGGAAGACTGTTGCATTGCGGAATATGACGCGCTAACTCTGTCATCCTTAGTCTGGCATGTCTTCTTCTCGACCGCACCGGGGCCTATTGAATGCAGCATGCTGGCCGTGCATTCGTGAAGCGGACCGAAGATCCAAAAGGCTGAATTGCGACACTTCAAGCCAACCCATGTTCAGGCCACTCTCGGCCGGCATGGGCGGACAAGGCTGGATTTGATCTGCACCTTCGATAAGATCTGGCTGCTGCTGCTTTTGTGCATCACTGCTTTGAGAGAGGCGAATTCCGATAATGCTCTTGGTTTTGTCTTGCATTTGCACGTGAACAGTCGGTGCCACCTCAGCGGCATACGTCTTTTCATGAAGTATCACGCGTGCATCGTCACCACCTTGGGCAATCCGTCGTCGCAAGTGTTCGAGCTTTAGCAAAGGCCGCAATCTTGAGTCTGACCTCGCTTGACTCTGATTCTTTTGTTGCAGGCTTTTGGCCAAGCCCCCGAGTCCTTGAATGCTGTGCGAGCAGACGTGGGCGCTGTTGCATGCAGTGTTGCCCAGTTGGACGAGGCAGGTGCGCGAAGTTTGGCTCGAACTTTGGGAAGTTGCTAACCCAAATCGTCACACATCTAGCAGAATCTCGCCTGGCATCGGCATAAGCTCTTGGCAGATGCAGAGGTCTTCAGGGAAGCGCTTGAGCTCAACGACCTCCGCGACTCGAAGGTGGAGGAGCTTCGCCAGGCCCAGGGGGCGGCGGATCATACACTCGGAGAGTATACCTCGAAGATACTCTCCAGTTCTTTTGACTCAAAGAGGCACTCAGCGAAGTGGCGGAGACCTCCGTCCCCTCACCCGAAGATGCGGTGGCCAGACAAGCTGTGCAGGCAAGGTGTGATGGTTAAGGCTTTCCAGCTCGCCGGCATCGAGAACCGATGTTGTTTTCAACTGCTAGGGAGCTTCTTGAAAAACCTTGTGATCGTTCCCCAACTGGTAGATACTGCGAGCCTCCGCGAGCATGCCGTTCTTTCTTTTTTCTTGCTGCGGCATTTGCTCAAGACTCGCTGGGCACTGCAGGTGGTTTGGCAGAGTGTCGAGGAGCTTCAGGAGGCGGCGCTTGAAACCCAGACGTTTCTGGCAGACGCGAGCTGTTGCGGGCAGGCCCTCCGGGAAGACCCGTCCAAAGCAGACGTGGCCAAAGATCTCCGGACTCTGAGGGACGACCTGGAGCTCCTCAAGGAGTGGCAAAAGGAGCTCCAGATCAGAAAACAAAAAGTGCAGCAAGCGCCAGGAGCAAGCGCCAGACCAACGCAGATTGTCCAGAACCGTCGAGGAGTTGCAGAAGGTGGAACCACGTAGTGCCGTGAAATTTCCGATGTGGTAATGCATTTCCGTGTTAAATTCGGCATGCAACTTGTAAAAATAGGTGTGTGTGTGTGTGTGCCCTGGCCGATGCGAAGCCTGTTCCGCATCGACTTGCGCGGGTTCTGGGTATACGTTGACAAGCCATCATTCATACGCACACACACACACACATACATGCATGCAAGCAGGACCTGTGGTTCTGTTTTTGCATCCTCAGTCCCTTTCTTCACATGCTGGTAGTTACTGTTGGCGCGAGAAACTGTCTGTTTCCCAAACACCACTCTGGGGCTTGACGAACAGGACAGGGAAGAAGGATTAGATTCGATTTCTGCGTACGTAAGGACAGTGCATGCTGCGGCACCGTTTGTTTTGCACAACTTAGAACTTTGCCGTATGGTATGCAAACTGCGCTAATCTGGTTGTTCCTGAGAAAGCCGGGAGCCAAATGTTTCACCAACGCGATTCGGGGACTTTAGGCGTCAATAGCCGCCCCTGATTGATTTCAGTAGTGTTACTGAAGACGAATTCGGACACTTGCCTCTGCAACATGCTCCACTGCTTATCCGGCTTAAATCTTTTTCTCGACCCAGGACGTTGATATACGTTTATGGTTGAGATTAGTTGAAAGTTCCGTCAGGGGTGTGTGTGTGTGTGTTGGAAGACTTCAGCCGATTGAGTTTACTTATATGCGTTCACTGCTCGGCTGTGCAGCCCCTTCAGACAGGAGCACAGACAATGCATACAGCAATAAACAAATTAGTGAGCGAATGTGGTCATAAATGCACATGACAGATTCCGAGCCTCGATTGAGGTGACGGTCCTGCTAGGACTGGAGATTGTTGTATAACATGTCTTCTGAAATCCATGTCGCAGGCACTCCCTCCCAAGATTTCGAAAGAACCTTGCTGAGCCAGACTTGAAGTCACAAACAGTATTCAATCAGGCACTCAGCTTTCGTCGCTGCACGCTCCATCCACGGTATTGTGCAACAATGCACGTCGTGTCTATGCACGAGACTACACAACATGGTAATTCACTTTGCATCACTTCCTCGTTGCTACCCCATACTCATGATGCTTGCCCATGCTGTAACATAGAACATTCCGATCGCATGTATCGCACATATAGAGCAGGTTTCTGCACATCGCGGGGGTGGGGGGTGAGCAGAACCGTGCTTAAGGCGAGGACGCTAGAACATTGTGCAGTTTCTCAGTTGCATTCCCGAAGCCAGCACTGAAGCTACAAAGCCACCAAAGCTCGAAAGCGGGTTGGGGACTGGGGATGGTGTTTGGTGTTTCTTTGTGTTTACTCTCGTGGTGTTTCCAGCTACTGGGTTCATACACCTTTGGTACTTGGAAAAGATATGTAGTTCAAAGACCAAGCCTGTGACAAGGGCCAAGACAGTCCGGAAATAGCCCGCATTCCGGTCCGGAGGCAGCACTCATTCCGAAACTACCAGAACTACACCTAAGAGCAACTACCATGCAACTTGGGACCATGTCCGCGCACACATATTACATCTAGACAGGCGTGTACACAAACAAAGAAGCAAACGATGCATGAAGATCTCTCTCTTTCTCTCTGCTGAATGTGTGTTTTTCAAGCGTGCACGCATGTTGTCGTGGTGCGTCTGCATGCTTGCGGGGGTATCAATATCTAACAATGCAGTGGTTTTGTTCTCGACGGAGTCTAAGATGTTGACATTCGCCAGGAGTGCCACGGGACCTCTGAAGCGGAAGCCGGCCTCCGAAAAGCGCTTGGTCGAATTGCAGGGCTTGAAGAGGCCTCATGCTATCGTGCTGGTCAAGTTAACAAAGCCAGATTACAGGGCTTGAGCAGCATTGTACCGGCGAGGAAGTGAAACAGTTCATAGCATCGCAGCGGAAAAGCACCGAAGCGTCCACGGATGTCAACGACCTCCGCCACAGCTTGGCTGAGTTGCAGGAGGTAGGGGACGTGGATGGAGTGGCAGGGGCCAGGTCTTTTGTTGGACTCAGTATGCAGTTACGGGCGAGCATGACATGTCAAGGCATTCAGAGAGGCGGAGCAGAAGGCTGCAGCAGAAGCTCATTGCCATGTCCAAGAACTCAGCAAGGTCCGAACCTGACCGTGAGTAAGATGTGGTATGCAATTTTGTCAAGTTGCAGGCGCTTTTCTCATGACCACGGTTGGTAGATCCTAGTTCCTAGTACGGTACTGGTGCCTCGAAGCTTGGAAGAGTGTGCACGCGCAGGCTGTGACGGACTTGAAGGTGGCGGAACAAGAAAGCACCAAAGCTTCCACGGATGTCAACGACCTCCGCCACAGCTTGGCTGAGTTGCCGGAGGTAGGGGACCTGGATGGAATCGCTTGTGGCCAGTCAGTCAGCTGCGGAGCACGATGACTACTCCGAGGCCTACCGCGACACTGAGCTCAGTGCATCGGTGTCTCCGAGTGCAGATCCGTCGCGCAGCGAGGAGATGCCCGAGGCAGGCGCTCCGAGTGCAGTCAAAGCGACGGTCTTTGCAGCGAGTGTTGTCCAATCTTAACGCCGCGTTGCATGAAGGATCTGCAGATCCGAAGCAGTCTCGAGGGAGCATCTGAGGCCACAACAATCGGCTTAGAATGCAACACCTTGTCCACATGCAGGTGGGATGTAGACGACGTGTGAAAAATGCAGCCGTTCAGGCTTTCAGTGCTTTGGCCCTGGGTCAGGTTAGAAGATAGAGCTCTAGGTGTAACAGACTGAATGGGCCACATCGAAGCCACATGACAGTTTGACACAAGCTCCAAAACCGCAAGCATCATGCTTTTGGCAGCCCTGACAGGCTGCGTGGTTAGTTAGGATGCAGCTTCGCCTACCTTCGGCAGTGCTGCGCCATGCCCCGACAGAGGAGACGCCATTGAAGTGCGTCAGCTTCAGGACTGCGGCAGAAGCCTTTGCAGTAGTGAATCGCTGAAGTCCGTACACCTTACAGTAGCCTTTGAATTCTGTCTCCGGATTTCCAGGGACCTCATCGACAGCTCTTCCCAGAGACTGCAGAGGAGTGGGCGCAAGCATGCAACGAGGCTCTTGAATGCTGAAGCAGAGTGTCGAGCTGTTGAGCCTGTTGAGCAGCAATGTCGCAGGTCGCTGTCGCCTTTGTCCCGCTCAGTTCCTTAGCTCGAATCTGATGTGTGGTTGCGGGGTCGGTGAGTTTAAGCATGTTGTCATGGAGGCTCGTGGAACACTCAGCAAGCTTTAGCCAGACTGTCATGTGAACATGGAGAGCGTTGCGCACGGCGCCACTTGACTTCAGGCTTCCAAACTGTCGAAGGCGTCCTGGGAGTCGAACTCAAACGCCTCTGGTATTCTGCTTGGGTCCTGCGGCATCGATCGAAGGACTGCCCGAAAGCCTCTCGTGAGTTGCGTTTGATGTTTTTACTTCCCTCGTGAACCGGGAGTTTCCTTACTTGTGATTTCAAGTGCACTGCTGGTGATTGGTAACTGGCGACGCATTTTCTTCCAATGCTCGCCTCCGAAGACTGCTATTGCTACACTACATGCCATCCTACACTGTATATATTATACACGAGGGACATGAGGGGGTGAATCTGCGAAGCTTCGAGAAGCTTTGAATGCTCGGACTGCGGCCTTTATACTCTATACTGTATACTACGTTATGCATATGAATAATATAGAAGGTAGTGTAGATCGAAGATTATGCATAAATAGCGGCTACGAACCGTATCGATAGTTCATTTCCTACAACATATGCATAACATTTCCTACAATCTGCATCGTGTCTAATGTCTAGCCTCGATAAGCTACATATTGATGGAAAAGTAGAGTATATCTACATAGTTCAAATCATACTAAGTCGTCTTACATGAAGAGTTTTGTAACAGGTAGTGTATATATGCGTACTAACGTATGTAACTTGTAGCATAGTACATACTATGGATATGTACATATTGGGTCATATGCGTCAGCGTATACCAGAAAATGTACAAACATTGATGCACAACATACCATATACAAAGATATACAAAGTAGAATACGTAAGATATGAGATTTAACATATCATGCACAATATTTACATGCACACACACATATACACACACACATAAGGTATGTACACGTTACAGGTCATCTGCATGCATATACATATATAGAAATGGTATACATGTCTCAGTACATGCCACTATATTAAACCTTACAGGCTCAAATGTACACATAGCAAGAATGCATTTCTACACCAAACCGATGTATGTCGTCATATACAATTTACAATTCTAGTATGTTAGTATGTAGCACTTAAAGTATAAATAGAAATAAACGTACATAAACAAGTATATACATATACACACCGAGTTTCAAGGTCTAAGTCTGTAAGAACTCAAACATGTATGATACACCGTCGTCAGATATACAGTATATGAATATGTAAGGTGTAAATTAGGGTTCGTAGTGTAAATGTACAACCTACAATACATAATGCCCGTTGAAATCAAGGTCCCGCATGGTGGTCAAGCAACCGTTTCTAAAGCACGACGCTCTGCATAGTCAAAGGCTGTTTCTTAACTATAGCCCGCGTAATCATAGTTCGTTTTCTGGACAGGCAGCCGCTTCTTAAGCATAGACTATCATAGACTCTTGTATGGTCAAGCCACCCTTTCTCAATCATTCTCGCACCGGTTCGGGGTGTTGCATGGCGGAGGGCAGAAGGAAAGGAGAGCCCGCGCCACGGCGTGGCTTGGCCCTGGCACGGTGCGACAGATACCGCCAGGGCCTGACACCCGCGCCACGAGTGGCTGCGTATCAAAAAGGAATGAAAAGTTTTGTCGAGCTTTGCAGCTTCCAGGCAGCTTCGGTCGAGTAGGCGCACCTCGAGCCCACAGTGTCGGGAAGACCAGAGACCCCCTCGGCATGTTCGACTCCTTACTTCTCGAGGGCTCATGCTCGGCGGAAAGATTAGGCACTGAGGTTGATGTCACAAGTCCAGTTGGCCGTGGCCGCGACCCGTCCCGTGAGGAAATTGGTACCCGAGCACAACATAGAAACGTCGGCGACCTGTCAACTGGCGGACATCTACGACGTGGAAGAAGGCAGCGCGCTCAAGAGAATGCTGGAGCTCGGGCCGAGGTTCAATTGCAAGTGCTTCCAACTAGAACCACAATAGAGTAAGTGTCATGGTAGATCTCACCCGAGGTTCAGCGATCGGACCATGAAATCAGAGCAATCTGTAGAGAGGCTGCGAGTCCAAACGCCACAATGCCAGCCTTACATGCTTCAGAGGCTTGATGCGCGAATATGGGAATATCCGCAGATCGGCATGACTCAGCTGCACAGCTTTATTGCCCGGCAAAGGCAGTATGTCGGACCTCGACGTACCTCGGACCTCCTTGTACCTCTTCGTTCAAAACAAATCGAACCTGAACTTGAATCATGCGGAGCACTGTCATCCTTTAGCTTACATCTCGCAGAGAGTGATAAGGCGCGATAGATGTCAGACTCTGGCAGGGATTGTCGGCTACGGCGGCTTCGGGACGGTCCGCCGGGCGACGCTCAAGAATGCTCCAACAGTTGTGCGCGCGATCAAAACAGCGCCCTGGCGGCTTCAAGCCCAAGCTTGGCAGTTCTGAGTCTTCTGGCCTTCATTAGTGAGTCTACGAGCCTGCTGCTTACTCAGGTGCAGAAGCGAAGTTTGAAGGCACAGAGCTTCGTGCGAAGTGAGATTCGTGTACTGAGACGGCAGCCAGGCGAGCAATACTCATCTTTGCACTCTCACTGGTCTTAGTTGCGTCGACCTTGTGGTAATGACAGGTGTAGTAGAGGTAGCGGCGGTTTTTGCCATTGCTGTGTTTGCAGCGATTACAACAACCGAGGTTGGACCATCCATGCATCTGCCGTCTGCTCGAGACCTTTGAAGACGAAAGGCTGTGAAGCGTCGATGTCGACTCCAATCCGTCTAAAACATGACAGTGTTAACAACTCTCAGACTCCAAGGGCAAGATGCTTGTGGAATTCCCAAGCTCTTGCCAGGTTTCTCCACTGCAGAGTTTTAGCACTAGTTTTCTTGCTCAGGGCAATCTACCTGGTGCTGGAGTTCATCGATGGCAAGGAGCTGTTCGATGAAATCGTGGAAGGCAGTTGCGCTTTATTGGGATTTGTGAATTATGGCGACTGCATCCTCAACATACGTACCAATCTCTGATGTTTAACCTTGAACCTTACTCCAATAAACCAAGACCTTCTACATGGGCCGTGGGGCCGCAGGCAGATTACTGCTGTCGGCATGGTCAGCATGACGCTATGACTACAATCATCAGTTTGTTGACGCTCGTCATGGCATGATTGCACCTGATCTGTGAGCACGGGGGGTGGAGTAGTCCGGCCCAAATTATTGAATCCAACCCCCTCTGCCCTTTTTGTTTTGAGCATGGGAGAAGGTTCAGAGATGTCCGGGCAATTCAGATCGGAATACCTCTCCTTAATGTGTTGCTGAGCTGCTCCGCCGGCCAACCCGGCTCAGAAACAAGCCGATCACCGATCGGACATGGAGGGCATTACCAGCTCAGGGTTTGCCGACTTATGAATCCAGCCCTGTACCCCAAACCCTCCTCCCACCGTTATGTTTCATTCTGATTTGGTCCCATCGTCTGGCTCGACCAAGTCACACGTTGTGGTCCTGGCAATAAGTACTGGTGCTGCGATCGCTGCACGTTCTTTTGGTTCAGGGTGTATTCGAACGGTGCTGGACGCTGTGGCAATATCTGGCATGTATGTATGTATGTATGCATGGATGTATGTATGTGTATGTGTATGTGTATATATATATATGTACATGTGTGTATACGATTCCTCTGCATTGCAGAGCAATGCGCTACAAACATTGTAAAAAAGTCTGGAGACTCAATGAGCTGCAGAAAGGTGGCACCAGTGTACTGGGAGAACTTCAGCACCGCACGAGAACCATAGGGACGCCTTCAGGGTTTAGGGTTGCTTTCGAGTTTCGGGTTTAGGGTTCGAGGGTTTGGGGTTTAGGCTTTCTCAAGTGGGTCTTCCTGACTCCGGGGCAGCGACAAGGAAGTGAGGGTTCAGGGCTTAGGATTTTGTGAGCTAGGATCAGCGAGGTAATGTGAGGAGCCAGCAAGTTTGGCTGTAGAATTGGCTGGATTCTCGAGGAGTCCAAAAACGTACGGCCAGAAATCGACCTGCAACTCCGGGTGCAGCAAAGTCTCTGAGAAGCGACGATGATGTCCTGGGGGTTCTCAATGGCCACGATCCTCAGATGCCACAGGATTGCAGTAACCCTGATCAAAACCTCAAAACTCTAGAGTATGGAATCCCATTAGGTCCCTTATAGTAACCCTTCAAAAGAGGAGCCTTTAAAGAAACCTTGCCAGCCTCGACATTAGCGCGCCATCGACTCCTGCAAAGCACGAGACCCCCAACCCTATAAACGCAAAACCCTTACAGCAAACCCTTAGAGCCTTAGAGCAACACTCAGAGTTACCGGTATAGAATCTCTTATAGCAACCCAGATGGTAGCCCTTATGACGGCTCTCATGGCAGCCCTCACGATACATCTTACCCGTACTACTTGTAGCAACCCATGGCAACCTTGATGGAAGCGCTGGAAGCCTCTTGATACTTGCAAGAGTGACTCGAACCTGCGACGGAAGCCCACACTCAGATTTTGAGGATCTCGGCCAACCCTAAGCCCTAAACCCCATAAGCCCTAAACCCTAAGCCCTAATAACATGAACCCCTAAATACCCTGCAGGACCGCCTTGGGAGTTCTGGCTCAGAGGCTCGCCGGAGCCAGGGGCAGGGAGGAGGAGGGGTTTAGGGCTTAGGGCTTGGGGGATTTAGGGTTTAGGGTTTAGGGCTTTGGATTTAGGGTTTAGGGTGTAGAGGGTTTAGGGTTTAGGATTTAGGGTTTAGGGTTAGAGTCTTGTGAAAGTCTTCTTGGTCATAAGGGTATTAACAGCGAATATGATGTAAATATCAGGGACCTATGAGCTACACCTCAAGTCGCTCAAAAGAGCTGCAACACAGAATGCAGCTTGCATCCAAGGGTCATGCGTGCTGCCACCATCAGCTTCTCCCACGTCTTTCCTTGCTGGACCCATGCTGTGCACCGGTGGGCTTCACAAGCATCAACAGCGAAACGGCTCCCTTCGTCTCGCTTCGGGTCTCATGTTTCGTGACCGGGCCTACCAAATATCACTCGACCATCGCAACGGCCAGTGCTCGAAGAAGCTTCAACCAGCCGTGTGACCATGTGGACATTAGCATTGCAGGTGAGATGCCCAGGTGGATGATGTGGATGCCCTCGACCGTGCGGCGGAAGATGTAGCCTTGGATGTCTCTGCAACCCTGAGTCCCTCCTCGCAAGACCTGCTGCCCGCTGACCACACCCTAGCAAAGAGAGTGCAAGTCATGCATAGTCATATTGTAGCCTCATAAGCTGATCGCACAGCATGATGTAGGAAGAAAATGGACAACCAAACTACACGCACGAAGAAACCAAAGCCCGTCAGAGGGATGTCAAGGGGCGCTTCATGCGGAAGTCCACGTTGCGGGTGCCAAGGTGCGTCTTGCACACCTTGTCTCTGCATGTCTAGTGGGTGCTGCATTCATAGGCGACACTGGGGAGGTCTGCCAAAGCAAAGGGCTCGTGGCGGCAAGGAGGTCAGAAGGGAGGGCCAGCAGCAGTCGCAGTAGCTGTAGTGGTCTTCGGCGTAGTCGTGGTACTGGTGGCGGTGGTGGTGTTGCTAAGACGACGACTGCTTGACCTAGAACAAGCAAACGAGAAGTCTGGTAACGAGACGGCTGCGGCCAGATTCTGGCAGCAGTACTTGCATGAGTGACAATGGCGACAAGACACCAGTAGAAATCGCCGACAATACTAACTATCTATCTGATTAGCATCTAGGTGTCTATCTATCTATCTTTGTCTCTCTTTCTCTCTCTCTCTCTCTCTCTCTCTCTCGCTCGCTCTCTCTGTCGCTCTGTCTGTCTGTCTGTCCGTCCGCCCGGCCGTCCGTCCGTCTGTCCGTCTATCTGCCTGCTTGTATCTACCTATCTATCCATCTGTCTGGCTACCTAACAATTCAGCTATCAGTCATCTTGCTATCTAGCTATCTAGCTATCTATCTATCCATCTGTCGATCTATCTCGTTGGTATATGTTGTACTTTGGTATCTTGCTACATGGTGTCTGTAGGACGTCCTTTTGTGAAACAAGCCTCTCTTAGCGGCTTCTGCCAGGTGACCAACATCATCTGAACATCCTCCTCCTTCGTGGACGCCATGTTTTGCTGTAGATAAGGGCGGTTTGCGTGAAGCTGGTTGAGCCAGGTGCTGCCTTCATGCGGAGCGGCATAGCAACTTCCTCAAGCGAAGCTCATGCTGAAGTCCTCGAAAGCCTTATCTCTGCCACTGCTCTAGTGTCTTGGCTTGTGGACCGGGAATCAATATGGCGCCTGCTGGAAAAGGTACTTCTTCTGAGAGCATTCGCTGAAGAACTGGATGTAGATCTCGTGAAAGTTCGCCTGAACGAGATAAGGGATGCAAACCTCCCGATTCACGGACTGAGCTGCCTGCGAGCTTGCCAGATCTCCCCTGCCTCGCGCGTCACACGCCGGCTGACTGTGTAGTAGCACAGCCAGCGGTAGTGTTCGGTCACGACCTCACAGCTCGCTGCCTACTTCGGATGCGCAATCCGGCCTGTTCCTTGAAGTCAGAGGGTGGGAAGTGGAGGATACTACTACTACTACTCCTCCTACTCCTACTCCTACTCCTACTCCTACTCCTACTCCTACTCCTACTCCTACTCCTACTCCTACTCCTACTCCTACTCCTACTCCTACTCCTGCTGCTGCTGTTGCTTAGTAAGTAGGCTATAAGTAGAGTTTTAAGTACCCTAAATGGAGTTACCCCAATTGTCACCCCTGTTTATAACCGACTTACTAAGTCCCCTGGGCCTGCAAGTACAGCAGTAAACCCAACCTCACCCTCCTCCGCCTATTTGCTTCTGATTGCCAGCTTCATCTGTACATCTTCATAACACCAAATGACTCAGGCATCCCCTTCACTCGGTGGAATGCTTTGTGTAACTCCGTATCTTGCAGATGTTATTCAACAAGTCATGCCTTTCGCTCGGCCTAGCAGCATCGACAACCTGGTACCAGTCGCCAGACACATCTTCGTGGCCCGCCTTCTGCTGAAGCAGGTTCACCTTTTCGCTGATGTTGTCCTGAATGTGCTGTAGTTCAGGTGCACATGCATGGAAAGTGGCACGAAACCCCAAACCCTCAACCAGGACTGCGTCGAGCCCACCCAGCCAAGCCCTCAGCAAAGTCAGACAAGCCCCAAAACCCAAAGCGCGGTCCAGACCAAACTGCGCCATATCCCGAAACACTAGGAGGTTGGTTGCTACCCAGAGAATTTTCATTGCCTGGCTCAGGCCGTTGAAAATCGCGTGAACGACATCTTTCACCTGAGTTGGTAAGACAGGGGCCAAGGAATTCCAATACTTAGGTTAACAAGTATATGTTGCAGTACAATTGACTTTAGTGTCCTGTTCGATTATTTATCATATTCTTCTGTGTAGTACTCATTGTATTCTATTTTATTGTATGCTGTTGTATTCTACTGTGCTAGAGTATGCTATATTGAATCTACTATCTTAGATCGGGTTATGTTAAAGTAAAGCACTTTACCGGGTTGCCGGGAACCATTTTGCCGCAGAGGCGACTCATATGGGCCATGCCAGAAAACTCCAAAACAAACCGAGGATATTCTGCTGGTGATCGAGACTACCCTAAAAACTAACAGCCCAAACCTCAAAACCAAACAACCCTTCAACATTGACAGGCTTGCCCCGTGTGTTGTAGTGCAGAGACAACTGGTCCAGAGAGGGTTTGGGGTTTAGCG